ATGCTTTGGAGTTGATTGTGTTTCCACATCACCGAGTCTGACTTGCAGGTTTGTTGACGTTCCAATTTCTTTATATCATGGTCAGACTGTCGAGGGGGAAATTGAATTGGTTAATTGTGGGCGAAAGCCTTTAGAAAATATATTTTATGAAGCAGAGTCGTTTAGCTGGTTCTTTCTCGATTTTGACTCCACAAACAGGGAAAGAATCACTTCAGTCAATGCCGGGCACTTGCCGATTCATTTAAATTGTGGACAAAGTACAAGGATTAAATGCTATTTGAGAGCAGCTGAATTGGCGACGGTGCCTAAAGCTGGAATACCAAAGGTCTATCACTTAGCATTTTGCATTCAAGTGGGTACGGATAGGGCAACTCATCGTTGGAGAATATGTCGCTGTCCTTGGAATGTCCATATTTTGCCCTCTTTACTACACTATCCTCGCTTTCTTCGTGTTTCCAGACATCACCATGACGCTTATATGATTGGTGTGGAAATAGAACATGCGGATCCCTCTAATGAAGAGCATTTTCAAGTACTTCAGATAGGAATTCTTTCTAGAGGAGATTATCGTGTCTTTGCATTGCAAAAGATGTCACCAAAGTACGATAAATTACAACCCATCTTTCTGAAACCAAATGAAACAGCAACTGTTTTTTTCTACGTGAAAAAAGCTGCAGCTCGAGAGGGCAACTATAGTGTTATTGATTTGGAATCGCAAGTTACTTATCAGGAAAATTATCACAAGCCTTTGGAAACGTTTTTTGCTGAAGAATACAGTCATGCGTTACCTAGCGACCATATAATTATTTGGCTTCACTGGAAGACAATGGACGGCACTAAAGGAATTCTGTTGGACAACAGTTTGTCGCTGAGACGATGTTTGTCTCAAACCGAGCATGATCTGGCAACTACAACTAGCAAGCAACATAGCGCCCCAGATAATAACAGAGAAGATTCAATGATTCGCTGTTATTTGGAGTTTCCATCCAAGGTCAATTATAACTTCAAAGCATGTATGCAGCCTGTTGTTGTTCCTGTTTCTGCAGTTTTTAACAATCTGCTTCGAGATGTTGCTGTTGACATATATGTAAGAGCACTGCCAGCGTCGATCGCTGAAGCAAGTCGAGGAAGAAGATGGCGAGGTCATGTTACTGCTAATTTATTGTCCATTCCTCCAGCAAGTCAAAGAAAGATACAGCTTGATGCTATTTTTCCTTGTGAAGGTGCATATGATGCAGGAGAAATATCTGCGATTTGTAACAACACAAGCCTTCAATTCGAAGGAAACAGTCAAATATACGTTGTCAATGATAATAGCACAGAGCAAGAAGATTCCATTGCAAATAAAATTTGAAGTCTAATCATCTATCTATATATCACGCCATAGGCAGCCTCTATTCTTCTACTTCCTTTGCAGCATATTACGAAGAGGACAGCGAGGTTTGATATGTCCTGGAGTACCGCACAAGTGACAAATAATTTGACCAGAAGGTCTAGCCTTTTTGTTGTCCTCTTCTTCTGATTGGTGTATTCTTCTTGCATCCTGTGAAACTTTGCCTTGGTTCAGAAGGGGATCGTTTCCGCTCCCACCAGTCGACCACTTTTGTGAGTCTAAGTTGAAAAAAGGAACAGGTCCCTTTCCTCTAGGTCTTCCAAAACCATAGGGATCTGCATCTTCTTCGTCTAACCTGGGAATCTCAAACTTGGCGTGACCAAACTTGCAATTTGGGCCATCTTTGCAGAAGCCTCGAAGATAAGCCGGACAAGCCACTTTCTTGATATGACGATATCTGCACTTCGCACCGTGTCGGCAAAAACCACGAGCATAGTATGGACATTCGTTTCTTCTAGATTCGGGGTCGACGTGTCTGTACAAACACTCTGTATTACTACACTCACCAAACTTTGAAAAAAAGTAGCACTCAGGCATTTTAGACATGTCATATTCATGTAAATATTCACAATATTCAGCTTTCTTACACAGTCCTCTCAACCAATGTTTGCAAACTATAAGTCGATCGTTTCTCGCATGGCGATATTGACACCAAGAACCCTTTTTGCACCCACTTTTTGAAAAAAACAAAGGACAAAGGTCAGTACTAGTCCCAGGAGAGTTGAAGTCTTCTTCAATCTGTTTATCAAAATTGTTTATTCTTTCAAAGGCAAAGATCTGGTTTCCAATAGGAGCCGGATCAAAAGATGTCTTCGTCGCCATAAGCACTTTGCCAAAAGTAATCAAAGAAGAAGAATCGATTTGAGGTAAAACCGTTCTTCTTTACTGGAATTTAGGGTTTCCTTCATGCAATTCATTAGTGTCTAAGTGCTATAAGTATAACTTTACGAACGCTTCCATGAAAATTCTACGACTACGATGCCTTGATGAGTTGATACCTTAAAAGAAATGGGGCAACATGCTATTTCTTTGTGACTCCTTTGATTGCTTTACACAGATAGCTAGTGTCCTCTTCGTTCCAATGACGACACAAAGTTTTTTGGCTCTATTTACTGAGGTTGAGAAAATTAAAAAGAATCAACTTTGTTCTTACCTGGTAACTGCAGTATACAATAAACTTCGATTAAATAGTGTGTAGTGCATAGGAAACAAAACAACAAAAACAACAGGAAATTCGGAACCCTTCAGAAGAACTCAGATCAAAAGCGACCTAAAACAACAATTATCAATACCTGAGATTTGTGTACGGTCAACGCGTAAGCATGCGATAAATTGAAAACAACATCTTCTGACGAATAGGAAACAATGCGATCCATAAATCGGACATGAACAACAACTTGTGATGTACGTGAGTATTTCTTCTCAAATCCTTCAACAACGCCGATATCGCCATTAAAGACCTGAAGAATAAAGAATTTGATATAAGAAAAGATAGTAAACGTAACGACATACGTCTCGGTTATAGTCATTCACTTTTTGAAATACTTTATCTCCCAAATGTAGAGTAAGTGAAGTGTTCCCAACAACAAAGCTGTGTCCTTCATGATTAAGATCCGGAGGATTTAGTTGTTGTTTCAAACTGAGGTTCAATTGAATGGTTCCGACAGAGCCTTTGGTTCCTGGAGATATAATTTGTATATCATGATAGGGAGAGACATTATTCTGAGTCCAAACATCTTTATCCAATAACGGATGTAACAATGCCACTGCTCCTGAGGGATCTTTTTCTTCAATCATAATCAGGTCTGTTTGCAATTGTGAAAAGAAACTGTTACACTTTTAAAACGCTTACCAGATATCCAAAAAGATAACTTACGTTGAAAGTGAATTTGATTGGTACATGTCCCAGATATGAGAAGCAGAGAATGTTGTCAAATAGGGAACTGTACCTAATCGTATTTGTGATGCTGTTTCTATAAGTGAGCTTCGTTGCTTCTGTTGACGAAAGTTGCTAGTAAGGTGTATAATACAAAACTGATTAGACATACAAATGTCTTTCAGTACCTGACCAGGCCCTACACTAGCCAACTGAAACATATCTCCAATCAAAACTAGTTTGGTATCAGGTTTCAATGCATTCAATAAAGAAAATGCCATTTCGATATCAACCATGCTGAATTCATCAACTAATACTGCATCAACATCTAAAGGTCTTCGTTTGTTTCTTTTGAAAACGCCTCCACGTTCCCCTCTAGGTTGATATTCCAACAGACGATGAATTGTTTGTGCGGTTAAACCTGTACATTCTGCAAGTCTCGCAGCAGCTCTTCCGGTGGGTGCAGTAAGTGCAATATTATTCGAACCATATTTAGTTTTCCATAACTCAACGATACGACGAGCAGTATATGTCTTTCCCGAGCCAGGACCACCAGTTATAATACACAACCTCGTATCTGAAAATACTGCTTCCTTTACTGCTGCCACTTGTTCTAACGACATACCTTCTTGAGCCAAATGAAGAGAATCGGGTAGAGAATGACCGGAACCAGCTCGATATCTTTTCAGTAGCGCCCCTAACTGAAACTCGTAATCGTACATTTTCTTCAAATATACGCAAGTCTCATGAGACGTAGAATGTAAAACGATAGCATTGCTCGTCTCAAGCGCTTCCAGAGCTTCCACAAATAAACTCTTATCGAATTGTGCATCTTCAAAGTCATCGGTAATAAGCTACAGTTGTTCAGCAAAGTAAACAAGATAAGGTGGAATCAAACCTTTTTTACTTGGTAAGACAGAGAAAGCTCCGTTTCATATTGTTTCGAGATACTATCACATTCACTTAAATAAAGAAAGCAATGACCTTCCTTCACTGCAGCACGCAAGGCAAGTTTGATAGCTGCACGATAACGACTGACAGCAAATTTTGGACTCATTGAGCGAGCTATCCGGTCAATCTTTTTAAAACCGACGCCTTTTAAATCCTCAACAAATACATATGGGTCGTTTTCGACAAGAAACAAAGAACGTTGAATTCCATAGCTAAACTTATTCGTGAGATCATCATAGCAAGATACAAAACATTACCTCGATAATATTCGAGATACCAACGACAAGGGAAATCCCAATTTCATAAGACCTAAAGTAGCTCTTCTCAAGATACCTTTCTCCTGAAAATGATCTATCAAAGCACGTGCACTTTTTTGCCTCACTGTATGGAATGTCTAAGTTAACATAAAATTGAATACAATAACTATCTACAAACTTACAACCTCGAACTTGCAGCAAATTTTCCATATCTCCTTGTTCCAAAACGTCTTCGATGCGCGTTCCAAAATAACTGCAAAGTCTTTTGGCCAAAACTATCAAAATAACTAGGAAAGTTGAATTAAGGAACAACATGCAATACCTGGACCTATTCCTGGGACAGTGTGAGAAGACAAATAGCTTTGAATGGTCTCCAATAACCACTCGTCTTTCTTCAGCTAATATCAATTCAAATAGTGACCGACTAGAAATCGATCACTCACCTCTGTCTTCAAAGATTGCAAATTCTGTTCTTCCAGACAGCTCTTTGCGTGGAACTGCAGACCATACTTGTCATGATGGACCCATTTTCCACATATAGAAACCGAGGAACCTGGAGTCAGAGGGCCAAAGTAACTAACCACTGTGAAGACGTCTTCCAAGGACTCTGTCGTGACACACTGCATAACTGCGTATTGTGAAGAATTTCCTGAAGTAAAGAGTATTCTTTCCACCCTTATCTACTCACACAAGTCACTCGCAAATAATAACTTCTCGTGTCTGTACCTCTATAGTTTCGGTATCTTTTCCGCAATATCCTCGCAAATCGCTATCTTTTAATCGGTCAGTAAGTCCTTTCTTCCTTAGTCTTTTTTCTTTTACTCTGAACTGCCTCCCGTATCTTTCCGATTCAGTAAGGTTTCCCTCGACTGATATTAAGTTCTGACGTGCTTGAGCACCCAAACGGCCTACAACCTGAATTGTTTCTCCTTCAAGCTCCTTGCAGGAACTTCGATGTACAAGCACTTCAAGAACTGAATATTGAGTTTCTCTTGATTCGAATAATACTTGCTGCACAGTTCCTTCAATACTGCTTCCTTTCAAGTTGACTGATTCCTTCTTGCTCTTTGAGTGAAAACTTTTGTAGTTATTTGATCTCATCAAAGTATCCGTCAATTTACCGCAATGAAAGGAACTGATAAGTGTCACAGGAAGCCAGACCGAGAAGGTAAACTTCTTCAACAGTAAACCTTGACGAGAAGCAAAGGAAGACAAAACCTTGAGTCTTCCACTGGACATATTGTAACTGTATTGGTTACGGCAACTAGTCAAAAGCAAGGAACTTGTTGTCCCCGGATAGACAAATAATATCATAGTTCAACATGAAACCCTCCTCAATCTTTTCAAAAGTGATAAGCCATTAAAACAATTGGATTACTGGACAGCTCTTGAATCCTCGGAATCGACCTCAGAATTCTTATGGTCGTTTCAATGAGTTTCTCACTGAAAAGATGATCTTTGAATGTTTTTGTATCCAAGGTAAGAATTCTTATCTCTCTTGTGAAATCTTTCTCTGTGACGCTGGCTTTTGATGATGTTTAACAATGGAAAAATTTGAAGTGACGAGATAAAAATGTGGAAATGTATATTATTGTATCATTGAAGAAATTCTATTCAGGTTATAGAAGACAAAGGAGATAATATTTTCCATTCGGAAATTATTCATGTATGTCATGTCCTATTAATACTCGCAATAGATAACAAAACTTTGCTTTCTACGCTGTTGTATCACTGAAGTGTGATTTTGTTAGAATTTCTCAAGAGTTTATAACTTTTCTTTACTTCGAAAAAGTATTTAGTAGTGGTTGATTCGGACTCTACGATTCAGAAGACTGAGAAACGAAATTGTCAATGAATCATATTTATTCTTCATGGAAGAGTGGGTTGTGAACGCTGATGGCTGCTCGCCACCTTCTTGGTCTGGTAACCTTATGCTGAAAGTTTCTTACCAAGGAGAACCAGGTTCATACTCTGAAAGTGCAGCACTGGAATTTTTCGGAAGAAACGTCGCCTTGCTTCCTTGTGCGTCTTTTGAAAGTGCTTTTGATGCGGTTGAAAATGGCTACGCAGATAGAGCTGTGATTCCAATAGAAAATTCTTTGGCAGGAACCATTCATAAAAATTATGACTTGTTGTTGCAACATGAGAAACTAAACATTGTTGGTGAGATTGATTTGCGTATTCGTCATTGTTTGATAGGTCTAGAAGGAGTCGAACTTCAAGATGTAAAACGTGTTCTTAGTCATCCGATGGCACTGGCACAGTGTAATAGATATTTAGAAGAGCATAATTTTATCCGTGAAGTTACATACGACACTGCTGGCAGTGCCAAAATTTTACGGGAAAAGAATCTTAGGGATGCTGCAGCAGTTGCTAGTGAACGTGCAGCCGAGCTATATGCACTCAATATCTTGGCAGCAGATATCGAAGACGAGCCTGAAAACTACACTCGGTTTCTGGTTCTTTCGAAGCAAGCGTATTTGCCACCTTCAGACAGTCAAAGCAAGACTTCCATTGCGTTCTCTTTGAAAAATACTGCTGGTGCATTATTCAAGGCCTTGTCGGTATTTGCTTTGCGAGACATTGACTTGACAAAAATGGAAAGTCGTCATCTGTATACTTTAGGTGATGACAAGGTACCTGAGACTCTGAAATCCGCTCGAAGATGGAAGTACCTTTTTTATCTCGACTTTGCAGCCAGTCTTGCTGATGAGTCAGCCAAAAATGCCCTTCGGCATTTGAGCGAAATAGCGTAAGTATCAATGAAATATTTACGACGGCTGCTTGAAATTTGATTTATGTTATATTGTCAGTCCCTTTATTCGAGTTCTTGGAAGTTATCGACGCGCAGTGACAAGTTAAGCGGTTTGTAACGACGACGATGCCTCATTTCTTATAGTCAAGTTTGCAATTTGCTCTTTAATCTGTCGTTATCGCTATTGCCCTTACTAAAAATCAATCATCTTTGTGAAATCTTTCTTTCAAGCTACAATATCCCTCTTCTTTTTTTTCAATCGAGCCTAAACAACTGAGACATCGAAATATGAGTCTACTGTTTGCCAAACGCATCCCTAACAACCATTTTAGAATTGAACAAATAAGGAAACGACACTTACATCTATGGGCAACGGACGAAATGAAGGCAAAAATAACTCCCATACATGTTGGTATGACCCAAAGATGGTCTTAAGGTTATGATAAAAACCAATATCGTACTCATGAATGTATCTTCTGCTGGCCATATTAGAATTCCTTTTCTTCTCTCTGTTCTCATAGAATTCAATAGTGGTTTGCGATGTTGCAATCAAATACAGGTGCCAACTTAATAGTATAAATAATGAAATAGCTACTTCTGTTAAAGCAACAGTTTGAACAGGTCAAAAGAGAACTTACCGACAGAAAGACAGAGAATGAAGATATATACAGCAACTTTTGCTTCTCTCGAGAATGAAGAAGTAAAAAATCCTGGAACAAAAAGCATATAGGAAACCGTTGCAGTTGCATAAAGTGCACCAAGGAACAAATAAAAGAGGAACAGGAGGAAGTATCTATAGTTGCGAAACCCAACACAACCGTTAATCCAAGGACAATGGTGGTCCATTCTCAAGACACATTTTTGACAGATACTGCAGTGATGAGCTCTAGGTGGTTTAATACAGCCACACTTTCTACAAAAACGCAGATGAATACCAGCATATTCTGTTCCTGAAATCAATTTCTGCGTAGGAGGTTCCCCAGGAGGAGTAAGCATACACATGATATAATTGAAAAGAATATTAAACAACAAAACTATAGATAAAACAATATGCAACGAAACGAAAGGCTTTCCAAGGCTTTGTAACAATACTGGCAAGAGGAACCAAAAATATGCGACCGCAACTGAAACAGTAAGACTTGAACAAAGAAAAACGTATAGAGGACCTGACTTCCTCAACGTTCTATCTACATTATTGTCAAAAAATAAAAACAGGTCCAGCAATATTTCCTTTGCATAGTGTACAGTCCACTGAAGCGAAGGCATCTCAAGAACCAATTCTACTCCTATGGGCCATTTTCATGAAATATTGATTGTCCTACAACGAATCAAATACAAATCAACCTTTACAAAATAACAGGAGTCGATGAACAACTCTTAAAAAGTCTGCCATACATATTACGATTGAATCGATATGCCGAATTCAAAGTGTTAGGTTGTTACTAATGCAAATATTAGTCACTCGAAAAGAAACAATGTACTATTTTTGGCTTCGACAGTGATTTGTCTACAATCGACAAGTATGACAAACGAATCCTTTAATAGCATCTGAAAATAAAATTTGGCAGAGGCTCAAGTATCTACTATATCAGGAATCGACAAAAAATGGAAACATATCTATCTGAACAATTTGAGGATTTGGAAATAACTGAAACAATGGAGTTGACTTGCTAAGCATTCTTCTAGTTATCATTCAGCTTAACCGAACCAAGAAAATCTAAAAGCCTGTCAGCATATTTCGGCGTAGATCAAATAAACTTGAGGGAAAGTTTATGGTACAAGGCATTTCCGACGACAACAATCGAGTCCGTGGCTCTATCTACTCTTTACCAACTCCACCCAAAGTCAACATTTCAGCAGGAATAGGTTGGAGTTTTGGTTGTGGTTGGTAAGTTGGAATTTTTGATGGTTGTACGAGTTTTTGAACTATCCTTAAAAAGTTGTTGTGGTCCCTTTTTTGGTATTGGTTTAGGATACAGTCTTTTCCACGGAATTACGTTTGGAGCTGGAGCTGGTATTGGTCAGTAAACAGTTATGCATAAGTTTACAAGGCTCAACGTTCGAAAGGGACAGTTTGTGGAATTGGTTTCGGGTCGGGTTTTCTTTCCGGTATAGGAAATTCAGTAATTCTTGCAGGCTTCAATACCTTGTAAGTTTGTCTGTTGTTGTACGATTCACAGTCTCATCATGCGTCGTTACAGGTTTTCTTTTAGTCCACGAAGCAAATTTTTGGAAGACTTCCTTCTTGAGCTGAAGAGGAAACTTGAATTCAGATTTTGTACTAGAAACCAAAACAAACACAACTTCAAATGGTTTCATAACCGACCTAACAAGACTACGAAATGACATAAGAAAGTTTTAGAAATAACGGATAAAATCTTCATCGCATATCATTGCGGTTTGTTTTGCAGATATATTCGAATGATAAGCTAGCATTTTCTCGGGTCTTATTCGATGGATTGCTAAAAATGACTCTGTGCACTTTCGTTTTCCGTAGTAATAAGGTTCATTGATGAACTTTTCGTTGTCCACAGCAGTGGTTAACTCTCTTCCAGCGATAAGACAGATACTCTCAGTACAGTTCAGAATAGAATGTGGTAAATCTTTGTTCGAATGAAAAAATACAATGCCTCCCACAGTGACATCTTCGAACTTTACAAGTTGAAATGGACAATTCGAACTTGCACATGAACGATAGCTTCCATTGCTTGAACAAGCCAAATTTTGTGGACGGCATTGTGCAATAACATGTACAAGATCCATAGTTACAACATACGCGAACCCAAACAAATAAGGAGGCCAAAAATGAAAAGGATATTCTTCCATTGCAGTATACCAACGGTGGTTTTTCCAGCCATCAAAATTTAGCGGTTTCGAGGATCCAAACTTCACAAGAGTCCCCATATAAAAATTTTGTTTTGTTGCTTCATTCAAAGTCTCTATCAGTCTGTCCACCTTGATGTAAACATCTGTATCAGATTTGAGAATAAAGGAGGCGTTCACGTTTTCGGATATCCAATCGAAGGCCAATATCGTTTTCAGCGTCAAGTTGAAGTATGCTTAAAAAAGAAAGAGATGAGATTGTGAGACATTCCAATAGCAACGACTTACTATCTTCCATATTGAGAACAACTATATCATGGTATTCTCTATTCTCTCTTCTCAACTCCTCGAGTTCCAACGAGGAAAGGTTCTCTCCTCCCAAAAAGAATTTGTGTTGCACTTGACTACCCTTTCCCTGTAGCCACGAACTGCGAATAGCACTTCTCACGCCATATTCAGAAGATTTAGATATCAACGCGACGAAGAGCAATGAATATGATATCTTGTTCTCGCTGCTTTCAGCATCATCCCACTTCCTCATTTGACATGTCCGCAAATAACAAAAACAACTAAAAAGCACAGAAATAAATATAAACAGCTTGTGCCTACAAAGTCTAGAAAAATATTTTCTTGAAGCAAAGCCAAAATAGCCCCTTTTATCAAATGGTCCGTTAACCTTCTTTGACATGTGCAAACAGAAATCTCACTCCAAAAATCATAATCGAATTGCTCAAATCGTTTTGAAAAGAAATACAAGCATGACGGAAAAATGCTATTTATAGGATTTCAATTTGCTTCTTGCTTTTTCAAACTTTGAACAACAAGAATCGAATACACCGAAATTCTTTAAAGAAGAAATCATCTTCGGTATCACTTCCGAAAAAGTGCTGAAATTAAATATGACACAAGAATACATCAGTTTCCACATTCATAAAATCTCTAAATTTGTCCACCTTCTAATAAACTTCCTTTTACACTAGCAAAGTCAACAGGAACTAACATATCCGATGGGGATATCAAGTTGAAAGCGGTTGCAAAAGAACAAAAATGGTGAAATAATTCTGTTTGTTGTTCAAATCTTTGAAAAGTGTCTATGTGATGGAAATATGCGTGCGCAAACAAACGATAGAGACGACGCATAATAACACGAAAAGGCTGCAAGTTAACTTCTTGAACTTTCCCCGAGTTGTTATGGGATATGACGTCTTCCGAAGTCAATAGGCTTGTGGCACCATCCAAACAATGAGAAATGTAATCAATTGCACAACACTCCTGCGCTACTTCATGGGCTGCGCATAAATATAAAACATCTTTGGTTGCGGTCATCTGTGGACAAGAGCTATAAGAACAAACTTCTCCTAGATAACATGCGAGGACGTTCAACTGGATCACGAACCTCAAAACTTGTTCTCTAACATAATCCTCCAGTTCGATTCCTTTATAGTTTTGAACGGCAGTTTGAAGCTCCAAAGTTTTAGAAAACGTGGTGGATAACGGCAAACTACGATCAAAGTCCACAACGGAGCTGCCTGGGTAACAGAGTTTGTCATTATTGTTCATCGCTCCAAGTCAATTCAGAGTGTCAAATGGAATGAGTGGCGTTGGTGTCAAGCGACTTCTGAACGAGTATCGGGAACTTGAAAAGGAACAATGGGAACCAGGTAGCTGGTTCAGAGCATACCCTTTAGAAGAAGACCTATTTGAATGGCATTTTACTTTGAAAGGACCTGATGGAACTCCTTTTGAAGGAGGTTTTTATCATGGAAAGATATTATTTCCTTCTGAATATCCACTCAAGGTTCGTTTCTTCTTTTGGAAAAGTTTCAAGACATATGTAAAAAGCGGATATTTTTATAAGCCACCAGATATAGTTATGTTGACGCCCAACGGACGTTTTGAAACAGGACAGCGAATTTGCCTAAGTATTAGCTCCTTCCACGAAGAGACATGGCAACCTTCTTGGAGTATTCGATCAATGCTCTTGGGTCTCTGTTCGATGTTTCCTTGCAAGGTATGTGAAATTATAGTTTTGTTTGACGTTGCTAACTCTAAAGCAGGCAGAAGGGGTTGGAGCACTGAACTGTGACCCAGAAGTTCAAAGACGTCTAGCCCGGGCCTCTTTGAATTTTCACTGTAGGCAGTGCCATTTCTCCTTGTCTTCTTTTGAAAACCAAGAAAAAGTGGTATCTTATCGTAGCAGCATTGATGAATATGGAAGTAGCGGTTTTATGAAAATGTTTCATAGGCTATCTGTTAGGGTTGTCTTAACCATTTTGTTCATAGCGTTGGGAATTCTATTTATGCTATTTTGTTAAGTATTTCATAAAATGTTTGTCTCTATTAGCTTGAAAGATAGTATGTTCCTCTTTGTATCTCGTTTAAGTTTCAAAGACAGGCCTCATTTTGTTTCAACCATATTGTCCGTTGTAGCGTATACTATGGAGAATCGTGACTCCTCAACTTTTTCTTTTGAGAGCTTTCAAATTATTATTCTTGAGAAATTTTGTTAAGGTGGACAATACAAGTATAACGATCTTTCATAGTATTGTTGAAATGTAGAACACCGACTATATTTGAGTGACAGGAAATAACCCTTTAATATGAGAAAACGTATGAAAATTCCTTCTTTGATTCTCTCGAGGATTCTAAGTTGGGTCAGCTTTAGTTCTTGTTGTTTTTCCTCGAGAGGAAAATGGAAGAGAAAGAACAGTTAGGAATTTTGAGGTCAAGAAGTTTGGAAAACGTGGGTTCTTTGAGTCTTGAACCTTTCGCTGTCCATGAGTCACAGGAAGAAGAAGAAATTTCAAAATGTACAGACAACTGTAAGTTCTCTTCCATGAAGAGAAGCTGCAGCAACCAAGACATTCGCTTAGATATTAAAAGCTGTGAGCTTCCTTTTTGTGAAATGCCGTCTAGAAGGTTTGGACACCTAAATTCTTCTCGTAACCTATTTGCTTGTGGGCTAACGCGCTCGGCAAGTCAGATATTACCGTCTGTTTCTAGTAGCCTCTTCAACTGCAGTAACCCCTCAAGGTCAGATTACAGACATTTACTAGCCTCTATGAAGAGACAAGTGGACTTGGACCTTATCACGTTTGAGCGAATCTGTGAGGCAACTCGAGACACACTTAAAGAAAAGGATGAAACGGAGAGGCGAGTGTATTCAACTCTTATTCAGATTTCCTTTTCGATTAGAAACTTCCCTATGGTTTCTGTTGATTTGATAACTCTAGCACGTTTCTTTAAGGAACGAATATCTTGCTTGGAACGTTTGCGCCGTGAAACGACAAAACTGCAATGGTCACAAAATAAGTTTAATATCTCACCCGTTATTAAACTTTTATTTATATTATCTAAGATTTCACGAGTCGTAGAAGAGGTGGAATTCGAACTTTCAGAGGTGGAAGAGTACATGGCTGAGTTAGCTGCTGACTCTATATCTGCTTCCGACTTTTCAATATCTAAAAACTCACAATATCTCAATAATGCGTCAGTTTCCCGTTCGAGATTGAATTTTCAGGAACATGTCACCATTTTAGAAGACGTATTGGAAGAAAAACCTTGTGCAAAACTTTTGGAGTCAGAAGAAAGAGAAAACAGGTCTTCATCGGTTGAGAAGAGATCAGTTGAGGAACTTGAACTCTGCCGTATTTGTGAACGTTATTTTTCACTGAATGTCTTTGAGCGGCATACGATTTGTTGCGCGAAAGAAGCAAGATTTTGGATGAAGTATGACGAACTAAATAAGAAACTAAGAATGTTTTTAAGTTCTCTTGATGAGAAAGTCAAGCAGTGCATCTCTTCATTTACACAAAGTGAAAAAGAGTTATTTTTCAAATTTCTAGCGTATCTTTCGTCGGTGTGTATTCTTTTAACCGGCCTTGAATCGTCATATACAAAATTGGAAAGAACTGTAGTTGTATCCGAAACACATCTTGAGTCTTGTGGAAACGAAATTTTGGAAGTCTATAAGAATATTTATCGATTTTTCTTTCCGTGTTTTGACAAAGTGTTGCTAGATAGAGACTCTTGTATAATTGAACATGGTTTGAGCTTGAATGCGTCGTTAAAGCAGTCGCTAGAAAATTTCACTAATGATATGAGGAGTCTGCTTGAAGAAATTTTGAATGCTGTGAAGGAAGCTCTCGATTTGAGGCGCAGTGTCAAGGAAGCACATGTTGAGCCCGAATTGGATTTAGTACAAGACAACTGTTCTTTAGATAGTTCAGAATGCGGCTCATGCACACTGAGCAACTTGACGGATACCTGTAGTGAAGATTCTCGTGAGGACTTACTCCCAAAAAGAATGGCGAAGAGTGATGAAAGTATGTATGTAAACTTGCTGAAAAAATTATCTTCAAAGTGCTCAGTGAGTTCAGCAGCAGAAAATCAATGCAATGAGGAAGGAAACAACTGTCGTCTCTGCGATAAGTCTATTGGAGACTCGTCAAGTCCTGGCATCGTTCCTTCAATCAACGACTTTTATATTCTAAAACCAATATCGAGAGGTGCTTTTGGAAAGGTATATCTGGTGAAGAAAAAGAAAACTGGAGATATTTATGCTTTAAAGGCTATTAATAAGTCAGAAATGATACGAAAGAATCTTGTGAACCAAGTTTTAGCTGAACGGGATATTCTAGCTGGTGTACATACATCATTTGTCGTCAAATTCTTTTGGTCTTTTGAAACGACCGATAAGTTCTTTATAGTCATGGAGTATGTGCCTGGAGGAGATTTTTATTCACTTTTACGGAACGTGGGGTATCTTGAAGAACATGTAGTCAAGCAGTATCTTGCCGAAACAGTTTTAGCGTTGGAAGAACTTCACAGTGTGGGTGTTATTCACAGAGATTTAAAGCCTGACAATATGCTTATTACAAAGGAAGGTCACTTGAAGCTCACAGACTTTGGTTTGTCCAGGCTGGGTCTTTTAGAAGGAAGCAATGATATAGGAGTTCAGAATGCGTTTTCAAATGTTAATATTGTTGTAGAAAATGTTCGATCGAGTTTTTCTGATGCGACAGATATTCCAAAGTCCATACATCCAATAGGCACTCCAGATTATCTTGCTCCTGAAATTTTACTCGGTACCGGGCATAGTTTTACTGTGGATTGGTGGTGCCTGGGAGTAGTTGGATATGAACTTCTTGTCGGCTATCCTCCTTTTCACGACGATACTCCTTCAAAAATTTTTGCGAATATTTTAAACCATCGTTTGATGTGGCCTGAGCTGCCCATAACTGATGTTATGAAAGATTTCATAGAAAAATTGTTGGATTCTGATCCTCTTCGTCGACTCGGAGCCAAAGGTTCGGTAGAGGTCAAAGAGCATCCAGTTTTCTTTGATATAGAGTGGGAAAATATCCTTCAAAGAGAATCTTGTTTTAAGCCGCAGTGTTATTCCGAAGAAGACACAAGCTACTTTGTTTCTCCAAAATCCTTTTGTTCGTTCCATCAAAGTGAGCAGACAGGTAGTTTGATAGAAGCATCGCAACGACCTAGTCGAAGTTCTGCCGTTTTACAGTCATTAATTTCAAAGGAGCGTTTTTCATATATGAATTCATTCGTTTCTGAAACACTGACAGACTTTGCTTTTCGTGACTTGGACAATTTAGAAGCCATGAATATGCAAGTATTGCGAGATCGTTTTGCCAGGACGCATTTGACAGATTGATGTAAATCAAGCGCTGTTTGTTCGCTACTACAAATGTCACGATTTGCGATTGAAGAGGATGTGACTGAATTCCAACTGTATACAGAACTCAAAATGAAATATTAAATAATAGATGCCCAATAGGAGAAATGATCAAAGTGAACCGCTTAAGTCATTTTCATTTTTAATCATTGTTGTTATGGAGTCCATTGACACTAAAGAGGCTTGATGTCCATTTGAGCTTCGATGAAATTTATAGTTACTAATAAATCAGTTTGTAATTTAATCTCCGCTTTACAAACATTTTTTTCTTTTTAAAACGTTTATTGTCTTTGTCAACTTTCTTTTGCCAAGCTCAAGTAACAATTGACAGTGCTATTCATTTGGGAAGATAGAGTGACTATCGAAAATAATCATACTTATAAAATGATTATTTTTTAAAAGAATTGAAGGGACAAAGAAAAAACAAACGACAGTTTTCAACACAAACAAACAATGATTTTGAGGAATGGGCGAATGAATGGTCACTGAGATGGAATCCGGAGATTGAATAGAACTTGGAGGATTTTTTTACATCTCCAGCTTGAACAAATGGCCTTTGCATCGTCTACCAGTTTCATAGTTGGGAAGTTGAAGAGCAGTAATGTAAGACAAGTTGCATACAAAACTCAGGTATGCTATGCACTAGTATCCATCACATTTGTTTGACTTTCTAATCAGGTAAAAACCTTTGAAAACCTTCGCATTTACAGCAGCATTTCTTCCTTCGACGAGCCGGATTTTCAGAAACTAACTTTCCATCCAACTGAGAGCTATGAGAAACGAAACTTTGCACACCCTTTGCAGAAAGTGTGGTCAGGAGAGGTGAATGAGTACTTTGTGAACCAAGTTAAAACTAACCAGTTTCTTAGGTTGCGACAACCGGTGCCTGGGAACGTCCCATATCTACTAGCTTTCGTGAGGAAGTACTGGTTACTCCAGAGTCATCAGAAGCCTTTGGGCGGTTGCAGAGAGAGTTGGCTTCCGAACGTAGAGAAAGTTTGCGTCGTTTGGAGGAAGAGAGAAGAAAGCCGAGACTCGGACGTCCAACTTGTGGACCCGAGGAGGGTGTTGGAGTTGTTTCCAATGCGTCCGACTTTGGTTCAAGTAAAATAAGGTGTGTGGAATATTGGGGTCGCCCTGGACGCATGTTTCAAGAGTAATATTTGTGTGCTTTAAAATTAGTTCTTCTTTGGGATGAAATAAAAGTTATGGCTACAACCATTAACTTCTAATATAACAAAAAGTTTTTAAAAGAGCAATTCCTTTTATATATAGTCGGCAAAATGCTATATCAGTCATGATGACCGTCTAAATCCAAAAGTACCGGTTTTCTTTCGAGCTCCAACTGAACTCTTATTCTTTCCAAGGTAGCTGTGTCCGGTTCATTGTCTAGACCCAATAAAACCATTGCCTTTTTCGATGGCAAATGTCTACCAAGCGTCATAAACGATATATTCACGTTAGCTTGGCCAAGTATAGAACCAACCTATGCAAACACTGTCATGAACCAAACACGAAAAACACCTCAAACTCACTTTTCCAATTTGGCCCGGCATATCGGTCTGATAATAGGCAAGCACAAGTCCTTCCAAGAGAAGGTCCAACTCAAAATCTCCGATACGTGTCACGTGAGGTTTTCCGCCAACAACACGTCCTTCGATAGATGGAGAGCCTTTCATCTCAAGTATAATTGCGTCCTAAAAGTCGAAAAGGAACATTAAATTAACAAAGACAAAGAAGAAAGTTACCTCATCCTTATTCGAAAAGCGATTTACTTCGGTGACCTGCAGGCCATGTGCCTTACTTATGTTATCAGCATTCACTACATTGATAACGTGGTCACAACCTGGCTCCATAAGTCCTTTTATCAGACCAGCACGAATGAGACGATTTTCGCCTTCATTGCCACTTGATGAGAAACGAATGGTCACTTCACCCGAGACATTACCATTTGCAAAAGAATAGGCTAAGCGACCTATATCATGACGTTAACAATAACGAGTTCCACTAGAAACCAAAAAAACAACCTAAACGTTCCGCCAATAAAGCTCTCGGTTTGAGATGTGATAAAGCCTCAGATGATACTACAGGAGCGTTTACCATAGTAGGAACAAGTTCCCCAAGCAACGCAGCAGAAACAGCTTCTGCAATTTCCAAAGAAACATCTAACTGCGCCTAAGGAAACAATAAAACTGATAATCAAATGATTCTAGAACATAACTACCTCTACAGTAGACGCTCCAAGGTGTGGAGTGGCTAAAACCTTTGGATGCTTCGCCAATCTATTTGAAGTGCTATCTGGAACTTTCGATGGAGGCTCTGTAACGAAGCAGTCAAGTCCTGCACCAGCTATTCTTCCTTCTTCCAACGCTTCGAGTAAAGCCTCTTCGTCAATCAGACCTCCTCTAGCAATATTCAAGACTCGAGCACCAGGCTTCATCCTGGATATGAGTTCACGATTCAGCAGATTCTTTGTACTATCTATCAGAGGAACGTGCAAAGTCACAAAGTCACCTTTTGATACGACGACAGACAAGGCTTCAAGCTTTATGCCAAGACTCCTTGCGGTCTCTTCAGAAGTATAAGGATCGTGAGCTATAATTTTCATTCCAAGTCCTCTTGCCCTTCGAGCTACCTCTCTTCCTATGCGTCCAAGACCAACAACTCCTAAAGTCTTTCCTTCCAAGGAGGAGCCAACGAGAGTAGTTCTCTCCCACTTTCCTTGCTTCATGCTGGCGTCTGCCTGGGCAATATATCTTGGAGAAATGAGCGAAGTACGAGCAACCAACTTAAGGCTACCAACCTTGAAAGTGCACAAATGTGGGCAATGGTATGCTCAGCTGCTGCGACACAGTTTCCCGTTGGTGCATTGACAACCAAAATACCTCGTTCTGTTGCTGTCTTCAGGTCAATGTTGTCAACTCCAACGCCTGCTCGTCCAACTACTTTTAACCGCTTACCGGTAGACAGTAATTCTCTATTTACCTTCACGGTGTGAGTGAACCTCTATGTTTCACCGTTTCTTACCTTTGTCCCAGACCGAACAATGAGTGCTTCGTAATCTCCTATAGTTTGTAGAAGTTCTTCTGGGGACAAGTCGTACTTCAAGTGCACCTCGAAACTTTTCCTTAAGATCTTTATACCTTCTTCTGATAGCTTTTCAGTAACTAGTATACGGTCCAATGCGTCTCTGCTTGCAACTTGATCGCTTATTGCTTCTCTCTGCACTACCATGTTGTCTAAAGAACTTTTCGCGTTCTCAGGTGGTGTCGTTTTGAAGCGTGTTATTTCCTCATCTCTACAAATGAAATGAGATTGCGTGGAATGATACGGACAAATCAGAGAGATTGTGGTGTTGTAGAATTCCACCGTTTATGGTGTTCCAAGTCATTCCCTGTTCTATTTATATTAGTTAACGGGACATTATTTCGTAACTTTGGAAACCGTAAAAGTCCTGAGAAAGCGGAAAACTACGCTTCAATTATTTACCTTGTACGTCGTTCAGAACTGGAAAAAGCTCGTCTGAAACGAAACTAACTCGAAAGCAACTTCTGCATAGCTGAAATATTTGAAAGGTCCAAAGTTGATATTGACATTCGTGCGGTTACTGGTACAGTCTGATTAACTCGTCACTCACAGCTGCAGGCGTTAAAACCCCCAAATCTGTGAATAACAAAGATATCAAGGATGGTGGAGTGAAATCACTTGCCGGATTCTCAAACTGGATGCCTTTTGACAAGTCAAACTCTGACAGCAAAGGATACCAGGGTTCTCTATAGTTCCCCGGAAGTGGCAAGTCGTGCTGTCGCAACGGATAAATTCGTGAAAATTTGTAAGACTCAACCGCAACGAAAACAGGTTTGTCATAAGATCTTGCAACTAAAGCAACCTGCAGTGAGCCAATTCTATTTATGATACCCCCATTTTCGGCTACTCCTTCTGCTCCTACTAGAACTAGGTCAACTTGATCCATAATGAAACCTTACCCAACAAAAATAAAAGTTTATTCGTTTCATAATAGACAGACTTACCCACACAAGAGTCGAGTATGATAGTCACGGAAATACCTGCTGAAAGAAGACGTTCTGCAAAGGAGTAGCCGCTGCCGTCTGGACGGCTTTCTGTGACGTAAACACGAAATCTTTTCGTCGTTGCAGCCCTTTCAAAAACTGCCGCAACAACTCGTGAGTTTCCATGAGTCAATATTACGGAACCGTCCTGAATAAATCTTTCTCCGACTTGTGCAATCTTGTCTCTTGACGCTTCTGTACGGCCTCTAAAATACTCACCCCTCTTAATAAGCCTTCGTTTACATTCTTCAAAGTCTGAAAGCTCAAGAGAAGTGCGAATTACAAAACGAAGGAAAAGCTCAGTGGACGCTTTAAGAGAAACGAAAGCAGTGATCGGTGCAACTTTAAGTATTGCGTCCGTAGCTTGTTTCAACTGCACCTCCAAACCCATTACTGTCTCTTCTTCTGAAGACTTGATTACTTCTGTCAGAACTGACGCAGCTGCTGGAGCATAAGCAGAGCCTGCCGCTAACTGACGTTCGAATAGCTCAATAACGTTGTTTTGAAAAGTTATTTCCTGTTCGTGTTTGTTTTGAAGCGCATCGTGCGTCATGATTAAGTTAAACCTAAACTTCCTCAATTGATTGAATTTCCTATGCTAGACAGTAGACCTTCTAAAAATGTATTGAAGACTTGAGAGTTTACATACTTGAACTTCATATTATTTCAAATGAAAATTCTTTTCTTGATACTCATAGAAAATAGATGTGAGATTGTCCACGAAGTTTCTGAATTCGAAGAGTTTGGAAAGTTTCGAAGTAGGTCATTATAAATATCTCCAAGTAGATGTCACAAAGTGAAAACGTAAAACAGTTATAAAAATCTCATAAATAGATAATGCCAGCATTTCACAGAGAAATCCATATAAGCTCAGACTTAATTCATTGCTACGTGGTGCCGGAAATATTTAAAATGACATGAATCTACTCGAAATTGCCACGTAGTGTATCTACTGATTTTCCAAAGAAAGACAAAAGTTATTCCAGACACCTATAGGAACAAGTATTAGAAGGCTGTTTTATCTTTAAATTTAAACTAACAATAAAAACAAGAATTCTAAGCATTGATTCTGCCGAGTTTAAAGTATCAATTGAAGATCTGTAGCGGCTGCTAACGACTGATTTGTCAAATATGGAAAACTATCTGTCCGATAACAAGATTCGATTGATCAGAGCTCTAGAATTTGTGGTAATTTTGAAGCTGACAGAATGAACGTCTTGTAATTATTCTCTAAAATGAAGTTCTACAATTTGCTGTTTGAGACTGCATGCTCGGATGGAACAATATACTTAGAAAATACTCTTCACGATTTGTATTAGACTGATTGCATCTGACCATTTCAGATTGAGAGATTTCGATTTCCGAGACACTCAGAATAATATAACCTGCAAAAGATTTCAAAAGGCAATCCTTTTCTGGTGAAGGGTTGCAGTAATCGAACAAGAATCTCATGAATATCTAAAACAGTTGTATATATGCAGCATGTATCCAATCGTCATGTACCAAAAACACCTCAACTTGAAGTGTTAGTAGAGTTGAAGCAGATCTTTGAATTTCATTCATTTGATATTCAGAATGTAAATGAAAGAAAAACTCTTCATTCTCTTTCTCATATAGAGTCATTCTGAAATGCAGTCGGTCTTTTCAAGATGCAGGAACTTCGGTGAATAATCTGTTTGACTCTTGTTTCTCTGCATCAATGTCAAATTGGAAGAGAGCTTTTCCATTAGTCCACTTCGCGAGGGTTGTTATGGAACTGGCATAGTTGTGGTTTTGCATAAATCCATTCAGTTGAAAATTGTAAAGGGCAAGAGATTTCTATTCATCTGGAATTCTTTCCGGTTGGCTATATTCCGTATGGCAACGGCATTCTTGTGCCAAACTTGTTTCTGTCCTTCAAAGGAACAGTTTTCTATTTTAAAAAAAGCAAAGAGAAAATCTGTTTGCTGTAGTTCTAGGGTGACTGTATTTCCGTTCGGATCAAAGCGGCGACTATATTTTGGACCCAGTCAACTCTGTAAAAGCTCAAATACCGTTACTTGCAAACTACTGCCCAATTTTTTTAGTAATTTATTGTTCGGTTTCTCAGCTGGTTGTATTGCGTCACTTGTAGGAGCTGGAGGAGGTGTTGTATTGACGCCTCTTTTTGTAACAGTATTTAACTCTCTCTTTCCGCTATTCCTTCTTTGATTATTGATTTCGTTAGTTCTATGGACTGACTCAAAAACAAGCACAAGGAACATCACTTGTTGCCGTTAGTTTCAATAGTCTTGTCGCTTCTTTCATATACTTCTTGGGTGGAAGAGTCCTTTTGCTACCGGCATTTTTTCTTACGTTGACTGCAGTAATTTGTGCTCGCGTCGGAGCGAAAGTTACAAGCAAACTTGATAATCTTTTTTTGCGTAAATGTTTTGGTTTTCTATTGATTTTCCTATCACTATTACTACCATTGCGTCAATATTTGCAGGTATCTTTGGGGAGAATGCCTATGCCAACGCAGGAAAAGGGCGGTCTCCTATCCATTGCGTTATATTTGTTTGCGGGAAGCATTGCAGGCTTTTTATCGGGCCTATTAGGAATAGGAGGTGGCATTATTCTTGTGCCATTTCTAGCTGGCGCTTTAGCCATACCCCAACACTTTGCTCAGGGAACTGCGTTGCTTGGTATGCTTCTTCCTTCGTTCTCTGGAAGTTATGTACATTGGTCGCAGCGAAATGTAAATAAAAACTTGCTTCCTGGTGTTGTTACTGGTATCATTTTTGGTTCTTTTTTGGGAAGTAGGAATATCAAAGATGTCTTTAGCACACTAGCTTACAGTTAATTCTAGGCAATTTGGCGTTGTTATTCTCGGAGCGTTTGCTTAGAATTGTTTGTTGCATTGTATTCTTTCTTATTGGTCTTCGATTTATTTCAACCAGTACACAGTGAGGGTTTCTGGAAGCCATTGATAATAAAGTTGTAATTGTTAAAATTGCAATATATGATATTTGGAGTTTCTCAACTTTTTGTTGTCCTCAAGTGAAACTTTAAAAGGCGTTCTTGTAGAATATTTTAAAACTTGAAGACGCCTTCATCATGAATCCATTCTCTTGTCGGCAGTTTCACTAAGCAAAGTAAACTAATACATCTTTAGAGCACTCCATTTAGAATCAGAGAAGTCATAATGCTATGTATAGGTATTTTACTATAATGAGGATCTGCGAAGTATGTCTCATGAACATATATGTCAAAGATTCTTTATTTTAAAAGGCTCACTAACAAATAATCGTCACAGGGAGAGCATCTTTGCCCTTTAGAAGCATTTACGATGAACAATTGAAGGACCATGCTCATCATATTCCTCTCTTGTGACCCACATTTGTTGGAAGGTACTGAGACTCGCCAAAATGGAGCCCCCAATCCACACTGAATATTTTCTTTCGGGAGGTGCGATAACTTTGATTTTCATTGAAGATGGAGCCAGTCCTTCAATTTCCTTCTGAACACGAGCAGCAATCCCGGGATACATCGTTGTTCCACCTGACATTACTATGTTGGAATAAAGGTCCTTACGTATGTCAATATCGCATTTCATAATTGAATTGTAAGAAGTTTTATGAACTCCATCTGCTTCACGTCCCAACATATCAGGCTTAAATAACGCCTCAGGACACATAAATCTTTCCTTTCCAACATTGATAACCTGTCCATCTGGTAATTCATATGGCTTCTCCAGTGACGAGTTCATTGCTGCATTTTCTAGTTCCTTTTCGTAGTCCTCTGCAACATAACAAAGCTGTTGTTTGATGTCACGCACTATCTCCATCTCCGCTGTTGTGGTAAAGCTGTAACCTCGCTCCATTAGAAGTTTGGCCAGATGCTGTGTGAGGTCCCGTCCGGCCAGATCTATTCTTAGAACAGCATGAGGCAAGGAATAGCCTTCGTAAATAGGAACCGTATGGGTGACACCGTCTCCAGAATCTATTACAATTCCTGACGTTCGACCTGAAGCGTAGAGAGATAGTACCGCCTGGATTGCTACATATAAAGCAGGAACATTAAAATCTTCAAACATAATTTGTGTCATTCTTTCTCTGTTTGCTTTGGGGTTCAAAGGAGCTTCCGTCAAAAGAACGGGATGTTCCTCTGGATTCACTCGAAGTTCATTGTAAAAAGCATGATGCCAAATTTTAGCCATGTCGTCCCAGTTAGTTACAATACCGTGCTCAATAGGATATTTAATTGTGAGGATACCTCTCCTCGACATGGCAGCATCTCCAACGTACTCTTCCTTTTGCCCCATTCCAACCATAACACCAGCTTGTTTAGGCTTCCCTATAATAGCCGGAAAAACTGCCTTCGGAGAATCTTCCCCTGCTATACCACATTTACAGTTTCCTGAACCGTTGTCCAAAACGATTGCTGGTTTATCTGACATGCTGATATTTAAAAACTAAGGAAACGTACAACCACACAACGATTAACAGAACGGAATTCAAAATTTCGAATACTGGGACATTCAATTTATGTCGACAAGACTTTAGCCACGTAGCTTTTGATTTTGATGATACGCGTCCTCTTTTCCACAAACTTCTAAATAAGGATCCTATAGTTTATGTATTTTAGTTTCCTACAGTCTTCTGGTGACAATGTGAAGATACCAATTTATTTCCTTAAATTGTTGATTAGAACTTGGCCGTCAGTTTAAAGGCCTTCTAAGACGTGAGACAGAGCAAGAAACATAGAGAAGAGAGAACGAGAGGAAGTAAAAAGAAAGGGCAAGATCCTCCAGCTATTACAGCTTGTTTGATATTCAATTCTTGTATTCTTCCACCTTTACTCAAAGTTCAAGGACTGAGCAGGTTTCGCCTGGTTACATAGGCAAATATTATGTTCAAACGGGCAGGATATTCTCAAAACGCCCAATAATAAACTGCCGCTTTATGTGGAAGGCAAAATATTCCATCAAGTAGAAGAACAACCTTCCTTCTTCCAGAGGAATTCTAACACGCTTTTAGCAGCGACTCCAAATAGTCTTCTATCGCTTTGACATGGACATGGGTAATCCACAAGTAGCTTGTGTTTAAGCTTTTTGCGTTTTACTTCTCATAGAGGAGCTTTAAGAAACTAAAGTGAATGATTCTTCTGGCTCTTTGCGTAGCTTTTGCTTTCAAATAAGTTCTATTTTTTATGAGAAAAACCTAGCTAATCTAATCTCTACATTCTCATTTACGTTGCATAGTACTCTAAGTTGCTCAACAGTATTTTCACATATTTCCAAACAGTTTTTTGGGCAAGTTGAAAAACTGAAGAAACAACTGGAATAGACAATAACCACTGAGCAGCTAAGTGAAAGCTGGCAGTTTCCAGTAATCAGTTAAGAAGAAAGACAACTTCATGGTAACCTAATAGACAAAGGTTTGTATTTCTTGAAACATCATCCATTACTTGCCTGGTTGGAATTGCATTGGCATATTAAACTATAAATCGATAACTTGAAATGCTGTGTAGAGGTTTCAAACCATATTCATATTTGTTCCATTCGAAGGTTGTGGGTTGCACGTTTGAGATTGGCGGCACGTTTCAGCATTTGCTGTCTGCAAGAAAATTGTTTGGTTGCACAATGAAGGAACCATAAATTTTCATGTGCTTTGAGTACATTCGACATGTACGCTGGATTGTAGAAACTTCCAATGGAGAATATGATTCGCATTCCAAGGTATATTCAGAATCACATAATCAAGTGCGTGGAATGAAGAGGAAGTATATGACTTGTTTCACTCATATCTAAAGTATAAGCTTCCTTCTTTCAAACTTTTGCTCTTTTTGTTGCATTTTATTCATTCATTCATTTATATCTTCAACACAATGCAGCTTAAACGTGGAAGACAAGAAACAAATGGATTGAGAACACGAGACTCAGTCCTAGCAGTTGAAACGTTGAGCAGATAACATTGAAGCTAATTTTCACCTGCTCTCTGGTCCATATACGCTTTAGTATACATGAATGTCTCCGAATAAATGTGGATTCATTGCTACGCTCTTCGTTTCATTTTTGGGCTTATAAATGCCGATCAACCTATTGGCCAGCTCAAACATATTGTTTCGTAAGGACACAATAATAAACTGAGCATTGGTTGTGCGTTCTTTGATGTAATTTGCTATGATAGAAACGTTGCGAAAATCTAAAGCAGCGTCTATTTCATCCATGAAATATAGAGCGGCAGGTCGAAAGTGGTGCAAAGCAAAGACGAGAGCCAAAGAAGACAAAGTTTTTTCACCTCCACTAAGATTAGAAACGGTCTTCCAACTCTTCTTGGGAGGACGAATAGATAATATCACACCTTCTGAAAATGGGTCCAAGGCATCAACAAGTTCTAATTCTGCATCGCCACCGAGAGTTATCATTTGATAAAGCTCCTTAAGTTTTTTGGAGATAATTGAGAAACCTTTCATGAATGTTTCAAGTCTTTCTTTGCGAAGTGAATCATAATTTCTACGAAGGGTATCACGTTGATTCGAAATAGTGTCCAACTCTGTAACAAGTTTGTTATATTCTGTCTCTTTTACTTGGTAAGTCATAATTGCTGTCATGTCGGGATTCAACTTTTTCATTTCCTCTTGGAGTTTCTGCACTTTCTTGTCTATTGCATCTTCCCAGTTTTTAGGGGTTTCGTATGTCTCTGCATCCAAAAAGAAATCATCTATGCCATTACAAATAGGAATACCGGCGTTTTCTAAGTCCACGATATGCTCTTCAACCTTAAGTTTGAGCGATCGAGCTTCTTTTGTCCAATATACAATTTTTGCGTCCATGTCTTGGATTTTCTTCTTCAAATCATCCAATTGGTTTTCAAGTCGGGACTCGTCTTTTCTAGCAGATGCAGTCTGCATCTTATAAGATTCGTATTCCTGCTTCACTTTTGACAACTTCCCTTCTCGTTCCTTTTGTTCTTCTTCGCAGTGTCTATAATTTTCTAGAACAGTCAAAGCTTTACTTTCAAGATCTTCAAGATGCTCTTTTCTAGAATGAATCTGCTCCTCGACGGAAGAAAGTTCTTTTTCCAATTCAGAAATATATAATTCTGCATTTTCAATACATTTCCGAGCTTTTTCCATTTCAAATCGAGCATTAGCTCTCTCCTTAACGAAATTTTGTATTTTGATTTCTGATGAAGCAACATTAGATTTCGCATTTACGAGTGCTTCTCCTCCAATTTCATTTATGCGTTCATCCAAAACTTTCAACCGCTCTTCCAATTTTGTTGTTTCTTGTATTGACTGCTCAAGCATTTTCAGGGTTTCTTCTCTTCGGGTGACCAGGGATTCTCGTTGTCTTCGCAAGCTGGAGTTGGTTTCGTCTCCTTGCTGACGTTTCAAACTTGTTACCCGACTTTCAAGCTCTCTCTTTTGTTCTAATAGTGATTTCTCAGCCAGTTCATATTTATCCTTGTCAATTGTTAACTCATCTAACTTTGTCACCTCTTGCTGTTCACGGATATTCATATCATGGATTTCCACACGAACCCTGTTCAACTCTTCAGCGGCCTCATTGAAACAGTCTGTCAAAGTTTTCAACGAATTTGCGTCAACAGTTGCAGATGACTGAAATTGCTTGAAGGAAATCTTGACGTTGCCACCCCCACTGATAGTACCTGCCGGCTCAATCAATTGTCCCGCAAGTGTCACCACACGGTACCGTTTGGTAGGTTGATAAGCAAGCCTTGTTGCTTCATCTAAATTAGGAGCCACTAAAGTGTCTCGTAGCACAAAGTAGAAAGCCAATCTGGCTCTTTCATTTTCAGCGTTTATCAAATCTATCAGCCTTTTACTGCCTTTTACGATCTGAGGCGATTCCAATTTTTCTTGAAGATATTGTATTTTTTCGAGAATAATGAAAGTACTTCTTCCAAGTGAGTTCGACTTTAGGAAAGCAACACATTTTTCTGCTTGTTCAGCGGTCTCTACGACCAAGTGTTCGGCACTCATGCCGATTGCCGCTCCAGCTGCAAAGTCATACTTTTCGTCCACCGTACCCAAATCAGCTAGACGGCCTAGCAAACCGGACAAAATGCCTTCTTTCACAGCTGCTCGTAATGCTTCGTACATTTTGTTTTTGTTCTGCTTTCTGTTGTTATCCATTTTGGAAGCTTCCATTCGCACTCTTATTTTAGAGATCTTCTGTTCCAGTTCCTCTTCTTTAAGCTGAAGTTCGCGTTTCTGCTTCCGAAGGTCATCCACTTGATGTGCTGCATAGGCACTCTTCACTTGCTGAATATTAGCTTGAATTTTGTTCATCTCGTCATCTAAACTGAAAATTCTTTCGGTAGTTTCTTTAAGTAGTCGTTCAGGTTCATCTATTCTACTTGAAACTTCCTCAATTGCATCATCGAGTTCCTTCAGTGCGTCCTGTTGAGTTTCAAGTTGGGTCTTTTTTTGGGTTAAACTTTCTTTTACAGTTAACATCTCATCGCGAATGTCTGCTGTCGAATGTCGGAGTTGATAGTAGATCTGTTGCAGAATGTCTTCTTCCTTCGCTAATTGAATTTTCAGTCTTTCAAGCTCTGCCTCTATTTCCTGAAGATGATTTTCATTTGTTGTTAGTGATGACCTTTCTCTTTGTATTGTTTCTTTGTTTTCTTCAATCTTTGCCAAAATGCTCTTTTGCATTTTCAATAAATGCTTGAGTTCCTCTCTCGATTTAACATCGTCCTGCTCAAATTTCGAGAACTGATCCTTTAGTTCGTTTAAATGATTGACCCCTTGCTCATGTTCTAAGCATGCTTCCTTGTATCTTTCTTCCAATTCTGTCATCTTGTTTTTGATTGCAACATTAGTTTCCTTAAGCTTGTGCAACTCTTCATCCAAATACTGAGACTTGTCTAGAGCTCGTTGTTTTCCTAGCTGCGAATTTCTTATCATCAACTGGCACTTGAGTCCTTGTTGTTGCAGCATATCAGTTTGTATTTGTAAATAGGATTTGGCTTCTTCCTTTGAAGACTCCAAGTTTTTTAGTTCCTTTCCGAGAGCCTTTACCTTATTCAGGACGCGTGTTCTTTCCTCGCTTAGGCTTTCAATCTTCTGAGATGTTTGTTCGATTGCCTCAACGAATTTATTCGAACCTATTATATCTTCCAGATATTCCAGCAATCCTTCTTCGTGAGATGCAGTTGCTTTTGGCTTCATAAGAGCAATTTGCTCTATTTCACCTTGCAGGATAAGAAATCTGTTGTTCTCCAAATCCACACCTTTCGAAAGAAGTAGCTCACGAATCTCACTATACGGGGTGTTTTCTCCATTTAGGAAATATTTAGAAGTGTTATTCATAAATGCAGTTCTTTTGACTTCAAACTCTGATCCTGGTACGATAGAGTTCTGCTCTTCTGTCGAAACTTCGTCGAAAATCTCGCAAAAACTCACAGTGACTGATGTTTGTTGAGGTTGTTTTTGAAGGTTTGAAGCTGAATAAATCAAGTCCGATACTCTGTTTAGTCTCATTTGCTTTGCTCTCCTTCCAAAGACAAACAACATCGCATCAATGACGTTGGACTTGCCACTACCATTTGGTCCAACAATAGCCGAAAAGTTTTTATGAAACGGTCCAACAGTAACGTTTCCTGCATAAGATTTGAAGTTTTCAAGAGATAGAGACTGAATAACGAGTCTCCTTCGAGGTTTCCTGGTACTACCAAGCTCGTCATCTCCAGTGAAAGGGATGTCTTTTTCTAGGTGAACACTACTCAACCTTTCAGAAATATCTTGCAAGCTGTCTTGTTCCTCTTTATTTGCCATAGTTCAGTACCTGTGAGGACAAGGACGAAATGTTAATTTTAGATTACCCGCCAAAGTCATTTTGAAATTTGACCCGGGCAACAGGATTAATATGGAACAGAACAAGGCTGTAAGACGTCCTTTCAAACAACCCAGAAAGATAACAGAGCCACCAGAAAGGAGTTTCAAAAGACAAAGTTCTACGGCAATGTTTACAGGTCAAAAAACCATACGAAGACGCAATTTAACTACAAACGTCTCCCAAGTAGAAGTGGCATCTACCAGAACTACATTTAACCAAGGCTGCCATCCTCTCAAGATGGTATCTATGAAGCAAGCTATAACACCAGACCATTCTGATTTTTTCGCAACGTCATCCAAGGATACAGCAGGAAGTTGCTTAGAGTATATTGAAGACCCACCGTTCAACATACCTCTTGACTCATTGGATAACTCCTCTCTATGGGAAGACGAATGGCTAGGAGATGCCGATGACTTTGAGCTATTAGATGTCATTGCTTTGCATGGTACGAAGGAATCAGCGGCATAGTTAAACTCTGATAGATGTAAGCACAATGAGAGATTTCATGGCAACCATTCAAAATAAAAGTGAATTGATTGAGACAGCTGAAATTAGGGAATCGGTACGCAATCACAATTCTTTTGATGAATCCTTGTTTGCTCTTCACAGCAATAAAACTCTCTCCCTGTAAAAATGTTCGTAGTTTAAAATATAAACGCAGCGCTTTTGTCCAATGTATGTGTACAAAAGTAACGGGGCCTTCCACTGGTATGAAGTCACAAAAGGTATTTCAAGTGTTTTCCAAGTGGCTCTGTTTAGTTTATAGTTTCTGTAAAGGGAACAGTACCACGAAAGTTCTACATAAGGTCTGATAAATATGGAGACATGTTCCTTTCCTCTCTTTCTTCCTTGCCACGGTTGGGAACGGGCGCCTTTGTATTAGGCTACCGTGTTGAACGTCACTCAGAAGGTTTTCGAGAGTATTCTGATCAACTTCCAGTTGTGAGACCTGAGAAACCTATAGAATTGTACGAATTTGAAGCTTGTCCCTTTTGTAGGAAGGTCCGCGAATCTTTAAGTATCCTCGACCTAGACGCAATTGTCTATCCTTGTCCTAAAGGAGGCCTCCGCTTCAGACCAAAAGTCAAACAACTCGGAGGAAAGTTTTTGTTTCCTTACCTTGTTGATCCTAATACTGGATTTGCTGGTTACGAATCAGATGATATCATTGAATACTTGTTTCAAACCTATGGCAGCGGCAAAGTGCCTTTTGCGTTATCCCGTGGCTTTATTACGAATATTACCTCTTCGTTAAGTTCAGCGGTTAGACTTGGAAAGGGTGTTATGAAGCTACCTTCCGTGGAACCTATTCAGAAATTGGAACTTTGGTCTTATGAAGCGAGTCCGTAAGATTTTTTTGGCAAATAGAGAAACGATATATTTAACAATTTTTCAAAGGTTCTGTAGATTAGTGAGAGAGGTCTTATGCGAGTTGGAACTTCCGTATCTGTTGCACAATGCTGCAAGAGGTTCACCGAAACGACAAGAACTTCGACATATCACTGGGACGTTTCAAGTTCCTTATTTAATAGATCCAAACACACAAACAAGCATGTTCGAGTCTGCTGAAATAATCGATTATCTTTTGGCTACATATTCTGCGAAAGCTAGTGAGGGTGCGAAGTTCGGCAGCTCAACTACGTCCAACCCAACTGGAAGAGAAAAGGAAACTTTATAAATGCTTTATAGGATTTCATTTTTCTTGTTTCAAGATTTGTGTGTTTCTTGATACATTTTTTCAATTTCCTTTTGATACTTTTTACTCAATGCTGGACGTTTAAGCTTCATCGTTGGCGTCATCAAATCATTCTCAATAGAGAATGCTTCTGGTTCGAGATATATATTTTTCACAGC